AGAAGCTGACGCAGGTTAGAAATTCTGATATTATAACTGTTATTTTAAATCATAATACAATGACTATATCGTGAGTTAGCGTTTTCTTGCTCAAGAAATTTCGTGAAGAAGCTGATCAGGCGCATAGCGTGGACTTTTTGTCTAGTACGCACAGGTCATGGAGCGCGACACATATTATGGATTGGAGGGGCTAGCGACCTCACAAGGCAGGAGTATTAAGGGGATCTGGGGGTCCTCCCCGGGAAATTTTGAAATAATAAATCTTGTAAATGCGATTTCCAGCGTTTTGAAGTTCAATTATATAAAAAAATGCTAAAAATCGTAATATTTCCTTGCCACTAGTACGCACGTGTGTATATGCGTAAAGGACGCTACGCGCCTGCTGATGAAAGTTAGAAATCCTTCTTAAACTTTATATTTTACCGAAACACGTACAGAYCTATATTTATAAAACAAAATTGTACATAAAGACCGTAGAATGATTCATTGTTAAAAAATAAAACAATGAATCATTCTAGTCTTTAAATACAATTTTATTTTGTGCAATGCTTCTTGACAAAGTTGAGTACGAAATGCAGTTGTCAGGATTCTCCAAGACATGGTATTCTAAGCTTGACAACGATAGTATTTGGTGTTTCTTCACATGCCTCGATGTGATATTTGTTTAAGTCGATGTAGTTAGTATATAAATATGGAACGACAAGGTYGCGGCCCCATTTGACAGTTTCAATGCCGTCTTCTTTGTTAAAATGCCCTTAAGTAAATGTTTTCACGTTCCTCCCAATAGCGCAAAGCACACTTCAGTTCAGTATGATCACACAAGTGGCTCGGGAAGAGTGTGGATGGGGATTGCGGAGGGTATGCAAACTGGGGATAAGGGAATAACGTCCTCTCCAATACTCAATCTCCCTTTCCCTCGAAACTTTCGTGTTTCCGTGTCTTTTCTTGTGCCAATACAAATCTTAATTCCAAATTACGTCCCTCTATCCAGAGATTGGCATGCTTTTGAACATCCCCCCCTCCCCCCGCCTCCTCCCCGGGCTTTGCAAATGATGTAATCGTAATTACAACTAATTTGCGGTCCTGCATTTCGTCTCCCTGYAATGAAATTAGTATCTTATAACTAACATTTTCACACCTGCCCGTAGATAAGCTATATTCCGTCATAGCACGTAATYATGTTATAATCTAATGTCTATGACATTTTGAAATCAAACTACAAACCATGGCAACATGCCTATCAGCAACTTCACTATATGAAAGGAATGTTTGTAATTATCGTTTTCTAATTATTGTTCCTTCAAGGAAATGCAATCAACATCAACCAGTTCTGTCAACAGTATGTCTTRGAAATGGTGATGTCTATTGCATTTGGAATGGAAATAAACGTCCAAACCCAACCCCAAAAGGAACTGACCGACAACGTGRAAAAGCTCTTGACCACTGGCGTCGTCATGAATATGATTTTACAGTCTCTACCATTCTATTCCCACGTTAAAAGGCTTCTTGGTCATGTTAAAAAGACGGCTTTGCCTTACCAGTTTGTGTTCAAAATCGCAAGCCAAATAATTGATCAAAGAAAGAAACGAGGTATTGACATCGGAAGAAAGGACCTTTTACACTTGATGTTAACGACCAAGGATAGTGAAGGCCACCGAATGCTGACAGACGATGAGATATCTGCACAGTCGGTAAATCCTTCTAGGACCCGTTCATACGACGTTCTATCCACACACCAGGCAAAATAGTCAATTGAGTTGGCCCCAAGAATAAGAAAACATCCGATAACATGCAATTGCATTCACTATTATTATCAAGAGAGATAGACATTTAAATCAGCGTCAAGCTTGTGCATCCAGCCCAACTGGCGTTGCCGTGTCATTMCTTGCCACAGACGGGTCTTGCAACTCATGTTACAATTTCGTTTGCTGTGTCATGCCTTGCTACAGTCGGGTTGTCGAGCCGCTCATGTGAGAAACTCTAACTATATTTGGCTCTACGCGACGATAGCACTACGTATGAACAGGGCCTTTATTAGACGATGTAAATCTTGCATAGAAATATCCATTAAGAGGGGGGTGAATAGGGGTCTCCGAATCCGCCGATCCGCGCAAAGTTTTGCTTTAATCCACTTCACTTCACTTAAGTTTTATTGTGCTACCTTTTGAGAATAAAAAATAAATTGCACAGCGCATGAGGTTTGATGCATATTACAATATTATAATATTTGATTACTGTCGTGTTGTTATTAATTTAACAAATTGAATTGAATCCCAAATCATGATAGAAATCGATAATAAGAAAATCATAAATTCTTGCTATAAATATGAAATAGTCCATAGCTGTATAATTCGTCTACTACAATGGTAATCCCTTTTTAAAAGCAATATTCAATAAAACATCATTCAACGCGATTCTGTAATCGTGATCAACATTATTCAACGGAATGCGTAATTCTTATACATAACAAATATATTTCTATCAGTCTCGCAGTTCCGATGTGTAAGTAGCACGCCTTCTTATCCATCTCATACTTACCTTTTTTTCTTGTTTTGGCATTTGGCAGGTATCGTTTCTGACAGCGGGTCTTCACTCCACCGGTTGTCTATTGAAAAACGCTCTTTATCTCCTTGCACGATTTMCTGACGTACAAGAAAAGTTGCACGACGAACTTGAAAGCGCTTTTCAAGCAAATCCTGACAAACCGATCTATGACTTGGTTCAAGAAATGGAGTATTTCAACTGTTTCTACAACGAATTGTTGAGAGCAGGAGGGAACAGAAAGGCATCCCTATCCCTATCCACCATGCGTCAGTGCGCTGAATCTTGCACGCTCAATGGCATCTTCTTTCCAGCCGGAATACCAGTGCTATTATCCTACCATCTCATTCATCATGACCCTGATTTCTGGAAAGAGCCATTCAAGTTTGACCCTGAAAGATTTCGTGGACCGGAAAAGGAGCAACGACAGCCCAATGTGTTCAACCCTTTCGGGATGGGCCCTCGCAACTGCATTGGAATGCGTTTGGCACAGTTAAAAATCAGGATTACAATCGCTCGTCTTGTGAGGGAGGTGAGGTTCATGTTGTCACCAGAGGCTAAATATCAGCAGAATGACCTACCTCCAGAACTTGTTGAGCTTAGAGTTGAACGCCGGCTCAAAAAGTAAATGTAGCACTGATTTCTCCATCTCTGGATTTGTAAACTCATGATACTATTTACTCAGTTTTAACAATAGCTTCTCTTGAATGCATAAACGTATCTTGGATCTGGGACAACAGTTATTCTTGGTTGATAGGCATCATGGGTACCAAAATGTTTATAGCTGAGTAGAGCAGAGTCACATGAACCATGAAATAAGAACTAAAAAGTACTAACTAATAGGCACTATTAGTTCCTAATAGTTGTTAGCACTGAACCAGAACAGTTTATTTGATCCAATAAACAATACCCAAGAGACCACTTTAACAATCAAAGTAATCTCTTTGTACTGTTCTGGTTCAGTGATAATGTCTAAATAGTGCCTATTAGTAACTAAGTATTTAGTTTCTATTTCATGGTTCAAGTGACTCTGCTCTAGAGTATGTCAATCAACATGAGATAATGTGACAATATAAACTATACACGGTAGTTTAAAACAATAGACTCATTATAACTTTGTTCAAAACACCTTTTATTGATAGTCTCACTCAGAGCCAGTGACCGATAAAAATACCGCTAGACTGATTGGCTGTAACCAACATGATTTAATGTGGAATAGTAGACATATTTTGAAATGAATGACTTCCGTATTGTTGATGAATGACATAGTTAAATTTAGTCTTTGATGTAGCAATTTCGACGGTATTAATATTAAGTTCTTTTTTTTTGATAAAATAGAGATCGAGTGTTCCTAGAAAGCTGTCGATTTTCCCCCCAAATAAGTGATGAAATACCTTGACTGCTTCCATGACAAAGAAGTGTTGCAATTGAGCACGTTTGTGGCACAGTAAAATCCAGAGTCCTCTCGMCACGGGTAAATATTTCCAAGTGTCGATATTTAAATGACTCCAGTATTAGCCTTTRTAAGTCTGTGGTGTACATTAGGTGACCTTTTTAATCCCTATGCTCCCTTTAAAGATCAACGTCATGGATGGCCTACAAGTCATAGCTACCATTATCGTTTTTCTTCTSGCTTTGTACTGGATGGGTACTTACAAGTTTGCAGTCATCAAGTCCCTCAACCTCCCTGGYTCAAAACCCTGGCCCTTTCTTGGTAACATCCCAGATATTTGGAAATATGGCASTATTTCCTATATGCTTCTTGAGTACCGAAAACGATATGGAAAGGTGTTTTATGTTTGCATTGGACAACAAACCTCGATAGTTGTTGCTGATCATRAATTAATGAAGCTGATTGCAGTCAASGAGTTTGATAAGTTTCGCAACCGCGCAATTCCCATTAAACTTCCTCCTCCTTACTGCCTCGGGGTAGGTCTAGCTTCAGATGGCGACTGGAAACGTATTCGATCTACATTGACTCCTACATTTAGTGGTTCAAAGATTAAACAAATGGTCCCGCTAGTACAACAATCGTGTGATGTCTTGATCAGTAAATTTCATAAAGAAGCTGACGCAGGTTAGAMATTCTGATATTATAACTGTTATTTTAAATCATAATACAATGACTATATCGTGAGTTAGCGTTTTCTTGCTCAAGAAATTTCGTTRAGAGGCTGATAAGGTTAGAAATCCTTGTTAACACTTTACGGAAACACATATTGAGAGCTATAGATATAGTGTGATTAAGACTAGATACACCTGCACTAAACCTTTGATGGTATATATGAAAGATCAAGTCTGCTTAAAATACTGGGAGGCTACTGGGAGGCTATATTATCTTAATTGCAAAGATCATGAATGACAGCAGCAACATGAAATCAAAATTAATCATTTGGGGGATTACAACCCAGTCAGTACTAATAACTCAGAATAAACAAAATGCAGTTTTCAATCGTTTAAAATCGCGCTCCTTTTTTATTTGTTGAAGGAAAGACCGTCAACATCAATGAATTCTGCCAACAGTATGTCTTAGAAATGGTGATGTCCATTGGATTTGGAATGGAAATTAATGTCCAAACCGAACCSCAAAAGAAACTGGTCGACAACGTGCAAAAGCTCTTGACYACTGACGCCGTTATAAGTATGATTTTACAGTCTCTACCATTCTATTCYCACGTTAARAGGCTTCTTGGTCATGTTAAAARGACGGCTTTGCCTTACCAGTWTRTGTTCRAAATCGCAAGCCAAATAATTGATCAAAGAAAGAAACGAGGTACTGACATCGGAAGAAAGGACCTGTTACAGTTGATGTTAACGACCAAGGATAGTGAAGGCCACCGAATGCTGACAGACGATGAGATATCTGCACAATCGGTAAATTTTCTTAGGCTCGCTTCATACGTCGTTCTATCATGCGATRACATGCACCATTCACTACTATTTTCATCAAGAAAGATAAATTTGTGCATTAAGTTCGCCAATACCTTAGTTAGACGTTTGAATCCTTAAAAATATTCAGTAAATCACAATTCAATTCGATTCTGTAATCGTGTTCAACATTATTTAACGCCATGCTTTAATCTTCAAATAGGTTGATATTCTCACCCTATACATATACTGACTTTATATTCCTATCAGTTTCGTAGCTCCTTATCCAACTCATACTTTCTTTCTTTTCTTGTTTTGGCATGACAGGTATCGTTTCTAACAGCAGTTCTTCACACCACCAGCAAGCGATTAAGAAATGCTCTTTACCTTCTTGCACGATTTCCTGACGTACAAGAAAAGCTGTACGATGAAGTGGAAAGTGCTTTTCAAGCAAATCCTGACAAACCGATCTATGATTTGGTTCAAGAAATGGAGTATTTCAACTGTTTCTACAA